TAATAATAATAATAATAATAATAATAATAATAATAATAATAATAATAATAATAATAATAATAATAATAATAATAATAATAATAATAATAATAATAATAATAATAATAATAATAATAATAATAATAAGTAATAAGTAATAAATAATAGTAAATAATGCTAAAATAAATTACCTAGGCCATCAATAGTAAGAGGGGGTGTGAATAAAATATTTGAAAATGTTTTAGATTCAATGCTATCACCAAATTTAATTGTTTTTGAATTTCCTGCTAAATCAATTACAGATAATCTAAAACCTGATGAATACAATGGACAATTTAATGAATCAAATAATATAAACCATGTTTGAATATTATTATCATCTGATATTAAAGATTCAATACTATAAACTTTATTACAAACATAAATCATTCGGATTCCTGTTGTTGTTAAAGTTGATGAATTATAATAATCTGTAGTTGTTAATAATATTCCAACTGTTGTACCTTGTAAAAGCAATATATTATATGATAAAATTTTTGGTGGGTATATATCATTTGCTATTTTTTTTATATTTGAAAAAAAAAAAAAGTTAAAAAAAACACTATTATTTATATATACCTAATAGTAATATTATCTATACTTACAAGCATAGGGTCCATTTATGCCCAATAGTTGGCTGCTTGTTTCTAAAGTAAAATCTATAATAGAAGGTTTATAAGGGCTTGTAGGGAAAGAGATTTCATATAAAAAACTATTATAATCACCAGCAGAATAACCATATGGGAATTCAAACTCCTTTCCAAAAGTATCATTTTTAGAGATTGAGATTTTGACTTTTGCTAGACAATTTGAAACTTTTGAATAGTTGGAAAAAAAAAAAAAGGATGAATAATCATTTACAAAAAAACCATAACTACTATTTTTAGTGGTACCATATAATGAAAGTTCGTTTGAATTAAAAAAACCTTGGTAAAATTTCGAATAGTAACGACCATTTGGTATATACAATGATATGTTAGTTTGAATAGGTTGTGTGCCTCCTAATAATATTTGGGAGAGTGGTACATCATTTCTAATGTTTATGTAACATGTAGAGTTTGATACTACACCATGTGCGCATATTGGTTGATGTTGAAGTTTATTTGTTGAAAAAGCATATGCAAAATAAAATGGATTTCCAACTTGATTTGAATAAAATTTGAAAGAAGGATTGATATAGATACCCATTTTAGTACTTGATACTGGTAATATGTCTAGATTATTTAAATATGCTAAAACTTGACCAAATACTGAATCGAATGATATGTTTTGAATATTATTTTGAAAATAAATTGAAACCACCCAATTTGAAACTACTGGCATGTCAATATCTGGAGTTTCAATGGATAATTGATAATAATTTGTTTGTGGTATATTGGTGAGAGTTGTTGAAATATTATTTCCAAATGTAGCTTTTACATCTTTTACCACTGAAAAACCTTGGGAAAATCCTGTAATTAGAACTAATCCTTGAAAACTTGAATTTACATAATATAAATCTGATCTAAAAAATTGTAAACTAGTGATGTTTGGTACTATAATAATTTAGAGAAAAAAAAAAAATCAATGTTAATTTATTTTCTGAGAAAATAATAATAATAATAATAATAATAATAATAATAATAATAATAATAATAATAATAATAATAATAATAATAATAGTAATAATAATAATAATAATAATAATAATAATAATAATAATAATAATAATAATAATAATAATAATAATAATAATAATAATAATAATAATAATAATAATAATAATAATAATAATAATAATAATAATAATAATAATAATAATAATAATAATAATAATAATAATAATAATAATAATAAAAATAATAATAATAATAATAATAATAATAATAATAATAATAATAATAATAATAATAATAATAATAATAATAATAATAATAATAATAATAATAATAATAATAATAATAATAATAATAATAATAATAATAATAATAATAATAATAATAATAATAATAATAATAATAATAATAATAATAATAATAATAATAATAATAATAATAATAGTGAATGTGATAGTGATAAATTACATACAAACACAACTAAATGCAATATCATTAATGCTAAAAAAAGCCCCAGAGCTTTCTTCGGCAACAGAAAATGGAATTCCATAATTGCCAGGATATATGGTTGTTGGTTTTATTGAGAAAACTGCAGATGTATCATTATAGATATAATTTCTTTCACATGGAAATATTGGATTGGAGCTTTGTCCAATTAAAATAGTTTTGTTGATATTGTGATCATTTGTATTGATTAATACATATAATGTACTAGTTACACATTGTGTGTCAATACTAGATGATGGATATAAATTTTGTTGTTTTGGTGATATAAATTCGTAGGTAGTAATACATTCTATTTCATTTAAATTAAATGATAATAAAAATAATAAAATGAATAAAAGATATTGGGGAATTAATTTTTTCATTTTTTTTTTTTTTATTGGACAAAAAAAAAAAAAAAAAAAAAAAAAATCGTGTAAAAAAAAAAAAAATAATTGGTGTGGAAAAAAAATTTATTGACAGATGGAAGATATTTTTTTTTTTTGATTATTTGAAAACAATGTGACTACGGTTTAAAATTTTTAAAAAAATCACAATCGAAAAAAAAATCATTTTAATAAAAAAAAAAATATCCCAAATTATTTTTTTTTTTTTTTTTTTTTTTTTAATATTAATGATTATTGTATGACCTTAGTCTCAACAATAATAAAGTTTATTTATTTATTAGGTTTTTTTTTTTATAAGTTTTTTAAGTGATTGTTATTTTTCTCCTATGAAATTTTATTTTATATGAAAAAGTCAACCATCACATTATTAGGAAGTGATTTTCTACCCAAATTATTTTTAATTATTTTTTTTTTTTTTTTTTTTTTTTTTTTTTTTTTTTAATATTAATGATTATTGTAAGACCTTAGTCTCAACAATAATAAAGTTTATTTATTTATTTGGTTTTTATTTTTTTATATGATTTTTAAGTGATTGTTATTTTCTCTATGAAATTTTATTTTATATGAAAAAGTCTACCATCACATTATTAGGAAGTGATTTTCTAAGGATACAGTATTTGATTGCTATTCTTTTTTTGATTTTTTTCATTTTACTGTAATATGAGTTTTTATCGCAAAAGATTTCTGGATCTTTGGCTGCTGATAGCTTGTAGTCTTTTAATAGTTTAATATATTCTAGTGATGCTAGTTTGTGCCATTTGTTTGATAACAATTCAAAATCCAAATTGGTATCTTGAAGCGCTTTGTCACCATAAATTTGATTACAAATCCATATCCATATGTGATGCATGACTAATGCTATTACATTGTTGTATGCAAATGGTCTGTATAAATCATAATTAACGGCTTTGTAGCACCAGGTGAAGTATTGTTTGTGGAATCTGTCTATTCCGTAGTCAGGGTTCACTTCGCTATCGGTCGGAACATTGTTTGGGAGTTTTGGAAATATTCTGATAAGAGTTTTTCCATTTTCATTAACTCTGTTTACCGTCCAATTTAAGAGTCTACCTGTTGTTACAAAGATGAAGTTTTTTAGTTTATTGACATTAATGAAGTTTTTTGTTTTTGGGCAATCAAAGAATAAATGTCCGTATGGATCAATAGACATATTGGTATTGCACATTGGGCATGGTTTTTCGTGAAGGTAATTAAGTGGGAGGCATCTCGAATGAAATCTAAACATTGTATTTTTAGTTTTGGGATCCTTGATGTTTAGTATGTTTGTGAAAAGAAGATTGTAGTTATATCCTCTCATATAAAGGTTGTCTTGAAGAAAGGTTTTTGGAATCTTTTCTTCTTTGGTGTCGATCTCTTTGTACCATTCGGATAGTGATAAAGGTTGACCTATTTGATTTTTGATTGAAACAGCGAATCGGAAAATTCCTCTTTTAGATCTGCTCCTGTTCCAATCTTCTAGGTTGTTTTTTAGAAATTGTGATGTAATTTTATTTGTCGTTAATTGAAAGTTCCAACTTTTATGAGTTGCTGAGGATATTGAATTGCTTTCTTGTGCATGAATAAATTGATTGATTATCCATAGTCTTTGGGCTTTTTGTCTTTGTTCGATGTCCCATATGTTCCATTGGATATTTTGATCTTTTTGCGCTCATGAGGTTTATAACATTGAAGCCAGTAGAGTTTTTATAGTTTGAGGCCGATAGAAACCACTCTACTATTTTGTTTATTTGTTTTATTTCATCTTCATTATATTTTTCTATGTATGAAAAGTAGGTTAATTTGGATAATGCGAAGGCCTTGAGAATGCTTGTTTTCGTTTTTACTGTGGTCCCGGTCGTTTTCCAGAGTAGGAGGGAAGCGCGAATTGATCTGAGAATTTCTGGCATTTTCCTATGGATACCATTCTTTGTGAAAAAATATCCAAGGTATCTTTCTGGATTGGTAGATTCTGGAATCTCTATTCCATTGTAGTTAGTATTTCCCAGAACTATCGAGGCCGACTTATCCAGATTTAGTTTGGAAGAGGTTGCTTTACAGAAGGTGTTGAAGTGTTTAAGAACTATTTTTAGTTGGTTTTTGTCATTTACCAACGATGTCGAGTCGTCCGCGAAACCTTGGAATTTTTCTCTTTGGATGCCGTCGTTTAGTGGTAGTCCGGTAATGTTTTTGTCTTCCAATATTGCCCTTGCAAGAGATTCGATGACTAGGACGAAAAGGGTAGGGGATAAGGGATCGCCTTGTTTTACCCCCCTTTTAATAGTGAAAGGACGTGTTTTATTATTGTTCACTTCTACTCTTGCTTCTGAATCCGTTAGGAGAAATTATTTTTAATTATAATTTTTTTTTTTTTTTTACCTTTTTTTTTACAGGGATATTTCTATCAATAATAAAAAAATCAAAAAAAATATCACGGATCCTTTATTTTATTTTTTTTTGGAAGGGATCGAACCCTTGATCTACTAATGTGGGGTTGAAAACTAGACCCCTCAGGGAGTTGAACCCTGGACCAACTGCTTGCTTCTAACGTTTTGGAGACAATTACAATAAACCACTATGCTAAGGAGTCCTATGAAAATTTTTTTGAAAACAACCTGAGATTTTGCAAAAATTTTATGGTTGTGCCACTTTCAAATGTTAACACCCGTATCAAATATCATTATTTGTAATTAACATCAAAAATCACCAACCACACGACACATTATTTCTCATTTGTGTACAGATTACAAACAACTATCACTTTTTATTTCTAAAAAAAATAAAAAAAAAAATAATAATAAATAATTAAAAAATATCGACCAAATGAAAAAAAACGCAGTTTTTTTTCATTTTCGTTGTGCCACTTTCAAATGTTAACACCCGTATCAAATATCATTATTTGTAATTAACATCAAAAATCACCAACCACACGACACATTATTTCTCATTTGTGTACAGATTACAAACAACTATCACTTTTTATTTCTAAAAAAAATAAAAAAAAAAATAATAATAAATAATTAAAAAATATCGACCAAATGAAAAAAAACGCAGTTTTTTTTCATTTTCGTTGTGCCACTTTCAAATGTTAACACCCGTATCAAATATCATTATTTGTAATTAACATCAAAAATCACCAACCACACGACACATTATTTCTCATTTGTGTACAGATTACAAACAACTATCAACAATTCATTTTTTCAAATTCATTTTGATACTCTTTTTTTTTAGAATAAAGGAAATTTTGCAAAAAAAATCCGGCTTTTAAAAAAAAAAAAAAAAAAAAATCAAAAAAAAAAATGAAAAATAATTAAAAAAAAATAATCAAATTAAAATATCAAACTAAAAATATCAAAAAAAAAATATCAACCCCAAAGTATCAATTCAAAAAGGTGCTGGTTTGAATGTTAACACAAGTATCAAATATCACTGTTTGTAATTAACACCAAATGTTACCAGCCAGATAAAGACACATTATTTCCTCTTTGTGCCACACACTCAAAACATTAATTTTATACATTAATTGAGCCTGTAAAAAAAAAAAAAAACAATAAACACGAGTTCTATTCTCGAGGAGAGACAGCCTAAAAAACTGTGATATTCAATTTAAAAAAAAAAAAAAAAAAAAAAAAAAAAAAAAAAAACAAAAAATTTTATATTTAAAAAAAAAAAAAAAAAAGCAAAAATTTTATAATTTTTTTTTTTTTTGCAAAAATTTTATAAATTTTACCAAAATCAAAATACAAATAAATTTTTAACCCTAAAACATCAAAAAAATTGTACGTTTGTAATGTTAACATCATTTTCAAATATCACCATTTGTAATTTACACCAAATGTCACTAAACACACAAACAACCCATTATTTCCACAATTTGTTTCAAATCTAACCTGTACCAAAAAAAAAAAAAAAAAACCCTCATATTCAAAATATTGATTTAAAACATTAATTGAACCTGAAAAAATATAAAAATATAAATAAATAAAACAAAATTAATAAAATTTTATTAATTATTTATCAGTAATAGTAACAGTGATCCAATCGAAATCAAAAGTTTCAGGAGAACCATAATGAGCAGAAACTGTACTCCAATTGGAATTCCAAGTGAATGGAGGACAATCTGGAGTAACAGTCATACCATTGATAGCAATTGCTTGATTTTGTTGAAGTAAAGAGTAAGATGTTATCTTTGAATCGATAGCACCATGTAAACCAATAAAACTCCAACTCAAAGGTTCCGATGGACCACCACCAAGATCATAACGAGCAGCAATTGCATTTCCTGGGAAACCGCCAGAGAATGGATCTGATTTATAGTTATTTTGAGTCATAATTTGTTGCATACCATCCAATGACATTACATTTGGTACATCACGTCTAAACATTTTTGAACGTGGATTTAATTCATAGGAAATGATATCACCATATAAACTCTCATAGTAACTATAACCCATTGCTTCATAAATCTCTGGGAAAAATGGTCTATTAAATGATGGCCAATTTCCTAATGCTAATACTTCTGTCATATCTGCTGAACTATATCCACCTGGTAATTGCTCAATAATCCAAAATGTATTTGGTTGTAATGGTTGATATGGTGTAAATAATTTATAATCAACTATATTTTTAAAAAAAAAAAAAATTACATTATATAATATTAATAAAAATTTTAAATTTTAAATTTCTTTTTTTTTTTAAAATGAAAAAAAAAAACTTAAATAAATTTAATCAAACTTACCAATCATCCATTGATTTGAATAAGTACCAGAATTATATTGAATGAAATTATTTGTCCACTCTGGTGCAGTATTTGAAAGACGATATGCAATTATTGAACGTACGAAATATAATAAAGATTTTGGAGTAACATGTTGATATAATGAAGTATTTAAAATATCGTTTGTAGTTTCAATGATAACCATTTCAGTTGAAGGTACCATGAAAAAGTCATCATCAGATGTTAATACACCAGCATATGAAGCAAATAAAACTTCATTACCTGGTACTGATGGATCTGGTATGATAATTCTTTTAAAAATTCTATATCCAGCAGTGAAATAGGAACCCCATGTTGTATGAGAGATAAATAATTCACCATAGTCTGGTGTTATACGTACTAAACCAGAACATCTACCTTTAACAGCGAATAAAGTTTCAATCTCTTTTAATGATTTAACTCTATTAGTATATTCTGTTTTATTTTGTGCCATTTCATATTCCAAATAACCTGCAACATCTTCAAGATCACCAGCATATTGAAGTAAAAGTAATTGAAGAGTGGTCAATTGTTTATCAGAGTCTGCTGAAGCTTGATAACCATTTGAAAATCCTTCAAATTGATAGATTACATTTGATACTTGAGTGTTGTATACACTCTCATCTCTACTTGAGAATGTAGTTGTCATCCAATCATAATTCTCTTTTAAAAATTCAATTAATGGTGATGGAATATCACTTTGATCAGTACCATTAAAATAGTTTTGGAAATAGGCTTGACTGTAATTCCATGTAGTTGACCATGTTAAATAACCCTCTAAATATCCTGTTGCCTCATAATAAATTGATGAATTCTCTGTTGTCATAAATTTATTCATTTCAATATATAATTTACCCCAACCATCTTTTAAAATTTCATTTTTATAGTATCCCTTTTTTTAAAAAAAAATTAAAATAAATATTTTAGTTTATAAGATTTAAAAATAATTATTTATACAATAAAATATTTACCCAACCTAAAGCATTTGGTAATTTACCTGAAGAAATAGCAAAATTTGAATCAATTGAATACCATTCAGGTTTTTCTTCAACAGAATACTTTTCATCTTCATTTATTTTAATTGCATTTGTAAATAAAAATAATAACAAGAATACAAATATATTTATTAGTTTCATCTTTTTTTTTTTTTTTAGTTTTTTTTGTTAATGATTTTTTTTTTTTTTTTTTTTTTTTTTTTTTCTCAGCGTTCAAAATGAAAAAAAAAAAAAATAAAAATTTTAAAATAAAATAAAAAATAAATAAAAAAATCTGTTACCAGGATTCGGAAAAATTGGAATCCCAAAGATTTTATTTCATCAACAATTCCACTAAACAATAAAATTAAAAAAAATATAAAAATAAAATAATTAACTTTTACTTAAGTAAAAAGGTATAATGAATAAAAAAAAAGTTAATATAAAAAAAGATATTAAATAATACTTTTTTTTTTATTATTATTATTTTTTTTTTTTTTAAAAAATAATTATTTTATATTAGGAAAAAATTTAAAAAAATAAATAAAAAAATTAAACTCTATATTATTTAACAAGGTTTTTTTTTTTTTATTTTATATATATTTTAATTTTTTTTTTTTTTTAATTTAAAAAAAAGAATTTAGACCATGAATAAACCTGATGGTTTTTCACCTTTAGCTTGGAGTTGCATGGTTTGTTGGTGAATGGTACAGAGGGTACAATAACAAACAGTTAAACAATCCATAACACCTGAACCTTCAATTCCGTGTTTTTCTCTGATTTGTGAACGAGTTAAACAAGTAACACATGGGAAACATAAAGCAGTGAAAATGCAATCGGTGATTTCACATTGACGACCGTCAACGGTGGCTCTTTGTTGCATGATTTGTAATTGTGGCCATAAATAACTGATACAGCAAACTCTGATATCAGAAGTGCAATCGCATAAACCTTAAGATTATAAAAAAAAAAAAAAAAAAAAAAAAAAAAATATATAATATTAGATATTTATTTTAATTTTTTTATTTAATAATAGATTTAAATTTATTTTTTTATTATTTTTTTTTTTTTTCAAGGTTACATGTAACCTTATTATAAAAAAAAAAATTATTATTTTCAAATAATCTACATACCGTGTTCCCAATTTGACATTATATATTTGTTTATTTAGAGTTATAGAACCTAAGAATGATTAACAATAAAAATAAAAAAAAAAAAAAATAAGGCTATAAAAATGATGAAAAAAAAAAAAAAAAAAAAACGTAAATAAAAAAAAAAAAAATCAAAATAAATAAAATTTTTTTTTCCTCAAAACATCATCAATAAAGTTAAAAATATCTAATTCGCTCAAAAAATAATCAATTATAAAATTCTCATTAAATTATTTTCATGGTTAATTTTTTTTTAGTAAATAAAAAACCCTATTACCCGGGCAAATTGATTGTTTTTTTCTCTTTTTTTTTCAATAAATTTATTTTTAATTTTTTTTGAATTTTTTTTTTAGATGTCAGTTGGACCCTCGTTTTTTTTTTTTCTATTGCAATCTATAAAAAAAAAAAAAAGAAAAAAAAGATATTTTTTCTTAAAAATTTACTTTTTTTTTTTTGGAATTCAAAGATTTTGTGAACGGACACAATGATAAGCAAAAAAAAAAAAAAAAAAAAAAAAAAATCAACAAATAAAATTGATTTTAATGAATATTCTCTTTTACAATTATTTGTTTTTTTTATTTTTATTTTTATTTTTTTCATTTTTTATTTTTTTTTTTTTTTTTTTTTTTTATATATTGAGGAATAATTGTTATATATAATTTTTTTTAAAAAATTTTTTTAATCGTAATCATTGTTTTTTTTTTTT